AACTGCACCTAAGACAGGCGAACCCCAAACCCTTAACCCTTAACCCCGCATATCCAAATGCCCCATGGTCCAAGGCGTGGTAGCAACACAATACAAAAACGTAAGCAATAAAATGAATTTTTATGCCGCATTTTCGCAATGCAGGATAGCACACACACACATGTACTGAGGCCGTCACCTCGGCAAAAAATATGTGTATGTTACCTTTGGTGGGTAACCCTTAACCCCACAATGCCCCACACACTCCAAACACCCACCCTCAGGATGCATTCCTGGAAACCAAAAGCGAACCGAACACATTTACACATGTAAGTGCATAAAAAATGTTTATGAATTTCAGTTTATGGCGCGTAAAACACGCCAATAAATGTACCAAGGCATTAAAAATGCCTTTCCCCAACGGCCACGCCCCCTTTGGGGGCCCACTCGTTGGACTTTGCCGCACTAATAAACAATCAGAAATGGGCATAAAGTATGGGGAATCGGGCAGGAATGGCAAAACGGCAAAGCGGCAAACGACAGCGGGGAATTTCCCTCCTGTGTTTTTCCTCGCTTTTCCATTTGTTTTTTTTTCTTTCTTATTTTTTTTTTCTTTTTTGCCAGAAGGTGTTAGTCGCCCCGCTGGCGCAGTTCTTGTGGCCGACCCCGACCACGCCCCCTTTAGCCCCAACGCCTTCAGGCCACCATGAATATTTATGCAAAACACACACACACATTTGGACTTCTGTTGCTCCTTTCCTGTCAGTCTGCGAGCCCCATAGTCCTGAAGTCCCGAAGTCCTGGCTCCTTGGTGTTTCCTTATTGTTGGCTGCGTTATGCCAAGTGCGCTCTAATGCACTTTACGACACTTTATGGCAGTTTTCCGGGGGCAGAAATTATGGCAAATTGATGAGAATATACATATGTGGCTTGGCTCCGCGCTGGTGCGAAAGTTTTTGTTTGTTTGCCATTGAAAGTACGACAGGCTGGAATTTTTATTCAATAAATGTATTTGTATCTGCTCGATCGCATTCAGATTTCGATTTTGGAACATTGGGAACGGGCCAAGTCAATTGGGATGATGGGATTTCAATGAAACACGCTTTGTGACCTTTTTAAGCAAGGCACTGAAAATCCAGATATAAATAATATACATATAAGCCGAAACCGATATATATAAATTGGAAGGCTGGAATACTTATTTAATATCTGTATCTGTATCGGTATCTTCTTGATCGCTTTAAGATTTCGAATTTGGAGCATTGGAAAGCAAATCAAACCGATTCGGGATGATGGGATTTCAATGAAACACCCTTTGTAACCTTTTTGATCAAGGTCCCGAAGTTCCAGATTTAGATTAGATAAATTTAAGCTAAGACAGATATCTATAAATTGGAAGGCAGACATTTTCATTTAATATCTGTATCTACATCTGCTCGATCGTACTTAGATTTCGATTTTGGAACATTGGAAAGCGGGCCAAACCAAATAAATTGGGATGATGGAATTTCAATGGAACACTCTTTGAAACCTTTTTAATCAAGGGACTGGAATTCCAGTTTTCAATTAAATAAATTTAAGCTAAAAAAGTTATATACAAATAAGGAAGTTAAAATTTTCATTTAATAGCTTTAACTGTATCTGCTCGATCACATTTAGATTTCAATTTTTGGAAAATTGGAAAACAGGCAAAACCAATTGAGCTGATGGGATTTCAATGAAACACGCTTCGTAATCTTATTGCCTACTGCAAGGTACTGGAATTCCAGATTTACATTAAATAAATTAAACAATTTTAAATTTAAATCAAAACTTAAATTTGAAGAAGGTCATTAACAACACTCATAATTAATTTCTCCGGCAATAGAAATGGCAAGCAAAATATATCATTGTACAAACACTTAAGATTTTGCTAATTCATAGCAAAGGGCTCCGTTTTTTTTTGGGGGGAAATCAGAGCCCCCAAATAGACATTCCACCGATTGCCTGCCCAAATCCTTTAGCAAATTCAGTTGGAATTGAGCCCTTTTCCTGTCCACAAATGACACCAGGCATTTGCGACAATTGCACACTTTTCCCCAGAATTTGGCCTAATGAAAGTCCCGGGCAATGTCCCCTTTTTGGCCATGATCCTTGCTCTGGATTTTAGCGCCCTTTTGTCTCGACGCCTCCATGCAAATCGTGTGGGCGGGGCGGCAGTTTTCCTCCATTTTACCCCATTACAAGTGGCCTCAGTTTTCCCATTTTTCCTCGCCCTTCCATTTGTTTGCTGGATGGCATGTTTTTTCTGCTTTTTTTTGAGTACTTAACGCCACGAGGAATCGCCTAAGACAACTGAAGCGCAAAAAATGCGAAAAACATGCAGAGAATAAAGTGGAAAATCGGGGCTAAAGAATGGCTAAATGGACGGTTGGGTGGCGGGGCGTGTAATCAAAGCGTTTGGATATCAAAGATTCGGAAAAGGCAAAGTTATGCATAAATTTTGGACGCCGTCGCGACTGGCGATTCGAGGCAAAGCGGAACCTTTGCGGACCCGCCAAAATCAATACAGGAAACAAATTAGTTTCGCCTCAGAGGCAGCGGATTATCAAAATAAAATTTTAACAGTCGCATGGACCAAATAGTACCACAAAAACAATTGAAAGGACATCCTCCAAACACAAATATTTCTTCACTGGGCAAAATATATCAGAAGTTTCATATTTCATAGAACATTTTATTTGATATCCTTGAAAAACAAATTGAAATGTTGCTTTAAAAAAAAATCAAATGAAGATTTAGTGGTATGTGACTTTATTTCGATTACTTGATCAGTCACATATATATTAATTTGAAACAGTTTAAAACAGCGAGGGTTGAATAACATTTATATTCACTTATATAAATATACAAAAGGCTTAATATAGTTAAAAGTATAAGAGGGCTGATGTTCTCTCCCTAGCGTTCAAAATAAAATTGGAAAAGCTTTTGTAAAATCGCGATTTGATATTATATACATTAGGTTCATTTCAGTCACAAACTTTTATTAAACAAACAAACAGCGTGCAAATTGCTAAATTCAGCGTTTATCCAATTTGACAGTAATTCCTTCCATCACAAATTAGAAAACTAAACAAAAATAATAAACAAGTTTTAAAACATTTAACCAATCTGTCCCAAACTTTAGTTGAAAAACAACAAGTCAGGAAGAAAGCTTGGCCAAACCGAAGTTTATATACCCTTGCAGATAAAACCATATCAGTCAATTAAAACCTTACATGGTACCTCCAATAGATATAGGACTATTAAAATGGTTTTGTCTATATAGCTGTAAAACTCAGAGACTAGTTTGCGTAGAAACGGTCAGAAGGACGGATTTATCAGATATACGGACAGATATACGGACAGATATACGGACAGACATACGGACAAACATACGGACAAACATACGGACAAACATACGGACAGATGGACGGACATGGCTAAATCGACTGATGCTTATCAAGAATATATATACTTTATGAGGTCTACTCTACTGCCTTTCAAAGTTTTGGAAATTGCAAAAGCACCTCAAGTGTAAATTTCTTGTAATAGGGTAGCTCTGAATTTTGTAAAGGAGAGGGAATCCTCTTAATTCACGATTCCATGATCAAGAGCGGAGAAGGTATCACTTTGATTGACGCACAGATGATCCTGACACAATTGAGTGAGGTAATATGTAAATTAAATTAAGATTGCGGATTTGTATAAACTTACTTTTTCCGGTTCTTTGACCCCTCTTTTCCTTTTCTTTTGTGATCTGTCCTGTTTTTAAGTTGAATCCTGGCCGCACTGGCAAGGACCCTAAGTGACATTGTTTGTTGCGGAGCCGCAGGACACGAACAGACACGAGAGCCTAATAATAGCCGCACATAAAATTTTATTAGCACGGGCGTAACAATTCAATTGGGTCATGCTTTATGGCGCCGCAGGGGCGGCGAGGGGGGTGGTTCTCAAGGGTTCAGAACCCGCAGAAAAAAATGACAACACATTTGGGTCAGTCAGGTGCAGTCGGAGGGCCCGAAAAGAGTGCAAAAAAATGAGGTGAAAGTGTGCAGGATGTTCGCCTTTCATGTTTTCCAAGATTTTACTTTCATCATCACTTTAGCGACAAGGAAACCCATTTCGGGCAGGAGGAATATTTTCCGAATATTTTAATCTGCTCTTCTTAATTTAAGCACTTACAATAAAAATTAACTAATATAATTCATCAATCATAATCAGGCTCAGATGCTGCATTCATTGCAGCGTTAAGCACTAAGCCTCAAAATTATTATTTAATGCTTGTAAAATGTACTATGACAACAATGTTGAAATTCGTTAGGAATTAGTGCAGCACACTTCACAAAAATAATTAAATTTACAAATTCCATATCAACACCCCCGGTGTTGCCTGCCGCCAGCATCCTTGATAATCCTTCACAAAATTCCAAACAAATTGCAATATATTTGTCTGCAATTTGCCAACACTTGATGGGATTATCATTTATTTTGGTGCTGACATTTCGCCAGCGGCGAAAACTCAATTTGAGGAAAAACTCATTTGTTGGCGCGACGAAAGGAGCGCAAAATTGTTTGAACAAACTCGAGCAATTGTCTTACACTCGCTCCAATTGGATTTCCGTTATGTTCCTTCTGCCACAGTCAAGGGCAAGAAAATAGCACGGGCATCATATATATATTGAAAATTAATAATTAAATAATATATATATATTCTCGTCAATTTTAAGCTTTTATTAATTTAAAAAAGGATATATAAAAATTTATTGGTCCGTAAAAAATCACTAGCATTGATTGAAAACCTTAATAAATATTTAAGGAGTGTGAAAAAATAACTTGAAATTAAGAAGAAGTCCTTGGAAACTTCCAGTTATTCCTAGATTTTTCTTGTTCCTATGGTTGTTATTATTATTATGCCCATGGCTGTGCTTATATTGCTTCTTGTTCATGTTCTGGATCCGGGACTTATCCTTGCCGTTCTTCTTCTTGACTATATTTTACAGTTACGTGTAAAGGACTCTTGCTGCGAGCGGCGAGTGAGAAAGAGAGAGGAAGCCAGCGGGCCAGAGGGAGACGGAGACAATAAGACTGAAGCTGGCAAACCTCACACAAAATGCGAAGAAGAAGAAGCAGTGGCGGGGCACAACAACCACAGCAGCGGCCACACGAACAGCAACAGCAACAAAATCAAAGGTTAAGCCACGGCCCACGCTGTTCGCTGCTAATGCTGCTAATTGTTGGGCAAGCAGTTTACGGTAAGTGCCACAACATAGCCAAAGATACACATAAGTGCGTGACTACACTGGAAAAAATTAAAGTTTCTTCTGATATTAAATGCGTTTCAAACTAGATTTTTGGGTTACATAAGCTAACCAAATGTATACTCATGGACAATATAATAGGTTTGAAGATTTCTTTTAATATCGATTTAAATCGTTTAAACGTTTAATATGGAAGCTATACTTTTTTAATATGGTCACACTGTTTCGGTACAAATTGGGTGAGTTACCGGAAATAATGAGCTTTTTGGGAAAAATAGTTTAGACTGAAATCTCGGTCAATAAAATAGGTGTATTAGGCAAAACCTTAACTTGTTGTTCATAAATTGAGTGTATTAATAGACTTACACTACTCCGTTTTTTAAGAGCAAGTCCTATTAAGCTTATCATATAAAATTTAAAACAATCCTTTAGTTAACATATAGCTATCAAAGTGTAGTGGTTCCTTTGTCACTCCATTGAAATGTACAAGTATACGACCTATAAACATTATTTCCCAAATATTTATCAATTAGCTTCATCCTTTTTCTGCCTGTGTAATACCGTAAACATCTTCACACATGCGGAGAGTAACTTTTATTGGATGGGACATGGCCATTGCCCCGTTCTCTGACCTCATTAGACGTTCATTTGTTTGCTTATTTATGCGGACACACTCACACAGACACAGAGGGGGAACTGGGAGATATATCGGATATATGTTGGATCATCATCTATATGGCCATATGGCATTTGCGGTCCTTTGTGTTACCAATTCCGCACACAAGTCGAATGCATACATTTTCGCTTTTGGCCATAAAAATTCGAATCCTGTATGTATGTGTGTGTGTGTGTGTGTGCACAGTGTACATGTGAGTGTGCCCCAAATTGTAGGCCACACAAAGCCACGCACAAAGATGATATATGTATGGGGGAATGTTTGTGCCCGGGTTGAATTCTGTGTTCGGCTGCCTGTAATTAATTGACTCGAACTCACACATTTTTCGCATCGAGCGCAAAAACAAGTCGCAAACTTTTCGCCCAGACAAGGTTTTTTCCACTTTTTTGCACAAATATATTTTGCAGTGTGTGTGTCTGTGTGTGTGTGCAGTCAAGGTCGTGTGAAAGGGATGGCAGATTCGCGGCATTTCCCTTCAACATTTTTTTTTATTATTATTATGTTTGTCGCATTTTGTGGCAGCCAGCCAACTTGGTCAATATGGCACAAATACACAAAATACGAGAATCCCCCATAATACTATCCCATTTACATACATTGCTGGCTTGTACCTGCAGGCCTATTTATCGATATGCATAAGTATGTCCTTTTGTCGAGTTGAGTTGACTTAATTGGCCGATTGTTTGCCTGCTTAACTTTAAGTCCTACGTAAATCGATAAAGGCCTCAATGGTTCTCGATTTCCATCGATTTGTCAGGGGCTTTCAGTGGTTTTATTAACTGAAAAAGTTTTTAAAGCAATTAAATACAAGGAGGGGTTACTTACTTTAAATTAAAAAGACACTTTCACTACAGAATGGAATTTTCACTATAGAAATTACAAAGTTTTTGAAAATTTCTTATTCAGCATTTAACCAAAAAATACAACATTTCTAGGGCTACATAAATATTCAAATAGTTTAAGGAATAAATTTAAAGTAAAAGTAATTCTAGTTGTAAACAGAAATCGAATAAGTTTTAATTGTATTTTTGTTTTAAATAGAATACTAGGAATTTTATTTATTTTTTAACCTGTTATAAATAGTAAATAAAGTATAATATGCTTTCCCAAACTGCTGAATGTCTTATACTATGTGGGGAAGAGTAAAAATAGCTTTATTTTCTTCGTATAAAATCTAAAATCGCAATAGTCCTTTAAAATAAATATCAAACATAATTCTTATCTAAGATTCCTGGTTGTTAAGCTCATTTCAAAATGGTTCTAGCAATTTAAGCTGTCTCTAAAAATTCTAAATTAAATATATCACAAAGTACATCCACACAAAAACACACTCAATTGCCATGCCATTATGGCTACGGTTTCCCTGGCCAATCGACACCAACCTCAGGACCCTGCCACGCCCACAATCCGCCCGACATCCTTGTGTGGCACCGCAGATGCGTTTTCCCAACTAGAGTAATTGATTGACGCCATTGGTCGAGCATTTACCAGCTGTCCTGTGGCTCTCGCATCTCGGGATGGGGCATCTTTTGATACGGATTCATTTAATTGCCGAGCTGGCTGGACATCGTTGCATTTACTTCGAGCTGACAGCTTCGCCCACCTGCCCGGCGACAGGACATTACTCGGCTTTTAGTAACTGAAGCTGCAAAATGCCAAGGGTCGCTTTTTGAAACCCGAAATCGTTTAGTAGCACAAAAACACAGGGCAAAACACCAGCAGAGCCGCAGCCACATATAATTTTGTCTAATTTCTTTTTTGGGATAATATTTTATGTAACCCAAGCGAAGGATACAGATTCAGATCGTAGGGGGGAGGGACTGTCGTCAGTCTATCGTAATTGTAAATTAATGCATGCAGAAAATGTGACCCCAGAAAATGGCGGCGACCGGAAGTCAACTCTCGCACGCACACACACATACGATTACTAACCATGTGGTTGCCTTCACGCTGTGTGCGTCCAGGGTAGAATGGGGTATACAAATATTAACCAAGGGGTAACTAGGGATAACTAATAGGTGATACCGAAAATCCAGATTTGCATAGACGATTTATAGTATTGAGCCGAGTTTCGATAGAACATCTTTTATTAAAGAAAGTTTAAAGTAATCTTTTAATAGGTGGCTAAGATACATTTTAGGAATGGTGCAAGTCTACTGAGCTTATCTATAAAGTCAATAATTCTGAAGTTTATTTTAATGACTTTCTTTAATCTTAATACTTATAGCTTTTTATTTTATAAACCTTTTATTAACCTTTCGACATATACTTCAATATCATAGGTTTCTATTAAAGATAAAACTGCCTTTGAAAGTCCTTTGCCAAAAATTGATCTATTATTCCATTTCTCCCATCTTTTCCTAACTAATAATTTAAGATTAACTAATGAGAATCGACAAGTCCACCCCAATATCTAAACTTTATCCAGTTTCTTACACTACCGCTGCCTTTTCTTATATTTCGTTTATTTTATTTCGCTTCGCCAATAATTGAATAATTTTGACATGAATAATGGCACAAAGGATGCGAAGGGGTCGGGAAAATCGGGGGATAAACCCCAAATTTATCGGGGCGAGGAATTTACCACACGTGGCAATCAAGCGGAAATATTCGGCAACGGAATGCTTGCATTCAAATGCGAAAATAAAAAAATAAACAAAAACCAGATTTAAATGTGAGGGAGCGTGAGATATACATACCTACATATAAATAAAATGTTCGGCGAGAGAAATTCCATTTGATTTTGGTAAATCGAGTGGCAGCATTTTCTAGGTGTCCGTGTGGATGCAAAATTTCGGTATTGGTATCTGGTATATGGTTAGGGAAAAGGGTATGGGTATATGGGTATGGCTCCTGCTGCCAGTGGGGATTGCGTTTATTTATTTGAAATTAGAAACTGCCAACTGTTCCCAAAAGTGGCCATTAATTAAGGGCTATGGGCCGCCTGCTGGGGCAGCTACTGGGGATTGCGTAATGACTGCAAAATGCTAACAAATAGCCAGTTGCCAGTTTTGAGTTGCCATCTTGGAAAGGGGCGGCGGTCAGGGGGATTGAAATTGACTGAGTGGGACAAATGGTAGCTGGATTTGTAAATAATTGTCTCACCTTTTCCCCGGCACAGAGGACAATCAATTTGCGAGTTGCTATCGAATAACTGGAAGCTGGCTTATGTCATTCCCTAAATCAGCTGAAGATATATGGTCCAGCAGATAAGAAGGCTTTTCTGACAATGAGAAGAATACTATCACACAGTCTGGGAGTATTTCATGAGCTTGGTCAATTAATTTAAGTTAAATAAGTGTCTGAAATGCATAACTACACTCCACATTTCAAGCTCAGAAAATGTATACGCCTATTTGCAATTTCTTTGAAATTATTGTAATTAATTTACCTTGTGTTTAAATTGCTCTTTAAATAACTGATTTTGATACCAATACATGGATATGATAGTCATATGTGTAAATCCCTTGCACAGTCCCCTAATTAATATTTGAGCTAATAGTTTGTAAAGAACATACATATCTGTTGCATTTCGGTAATTACATTTAAGTCCTTTAGCTAAATTTAACACATATTTCAGTTTCTGTTTGAATGCACAATTAGCGAATTCATAAGTGCGGGTCACAATCCTGTTGCCATTGAATGATTCACAAAATGAATATTTAAATTGCTGTTTTCCTCTTATTAAATTATGGTATTTCAAAATTCATGTCAAAAAATATGAACCTATATATATTTTTTCTTTCCTGTTGTTATTCGTACCGAAATAAATTGTAACACTATTATGCTAAGAAAAGTATAATAAGAAGAAAAGTATGATAAGAAAAAGTATAAGGTCCAGAGCTTTAAGATTCAAGTTAAATATTTTGCAGTCTCAGTCTCCAGGGTGAGATCCAATGCCACTGGATTGAAAATTGAGCTCCTTCAACAAGGTATGACATTCCTCGATCTGACGATTATTTTTGTTGTAGCAGCCAAAAAACTGAATTTTTAGGGCGAAAAAATGCGATTCCAATTTTAGTCAAAAATACGAAATTCAGATTTTAGTAATAAGTACGATTTTTTTTCAATTTTTCAATCGTAGTTTAGTCAAAACAAGGCGTACAGCTGAAAGACCTACTGTTTGAAAAGCTTTCTTCCTATGCTAACGATCCCAATCATTTTAAGGTAAATTTATTTTTTGACCAATTTTCGCATTTTTTGTAAGGGGGTGCATCGTCTTTTTTTGCAAAAAATTTGAAAAGTTAAAAATTTCAAGGTTTGACTGCCAATGGATTGGAAATTAAGCAACGAGCTCAACGAGGTATGACCTTCCTCG